AGGACTATAATATTTTTTCATTGAACTGATTTTAGTGTAAATCCATTTATGAATTGTTTTTTGGTAAACTAGTAGAGAGGGTAGTTTTCGTAGGCCCACGTACATATCAGAAAATTCAGGACACATAGTTTTTACACATAATGCTGAAGGATAAATTGACTGTGCTGTTTTCAGTATGTTTCTCAGAGTGAACATTTAACTCTAATAAACATTACTGTACCTATGCTGTTCACCTACTATCTTGTGTTGTAAAGAAAACTTAGCACTGACAACTCTTAGTAAATTTAGACCAGTTCTTTAGGAAGAAACTATTCATACTTCTCTTTCCTTTCTTCAAGGGGAGATTTATTTAGATATCACAAGGGGCCAGACAGCTACTGTTTACATACCTGCCTTAGAACATGAGAAGGTATAAGAAAGCAAGACATTAGATGTGAGGAAATCCCTGAGTGTACTCTTTTTACTCATAATTTTTAAAATTATGTAAAAATCTACACATATATAACTTCAGGGGAGAAGTTGTTTCTGATCTAAGGAAGGAATAAAACTTGCTTTAAGAATGATGGACTGAAACCTGTTTTTTGGTTTGTATTTTTTAAAGTCGGGCAGGATGAGAAGAATCATTCCATATCCACTATAAGAGAGAGAGTGACCACATAGAGCTCTCTCTGACAAGAGGTGTGGGGTGATTCACTGCGGGCCGTCATGGGCCTTGCCATGATGTTTAACAACAGCTGATAGATTGAACATTGTGAGACAGAGAAATAGTTTTTAAATGCCTTAATATCTTGAAACCAACATTTATTTTGTTATCTGAGCTTTTATTTCTGAATATATTCTAAGGCTTTACTGCTGATTTTATTTTTATCCTAATAATTCCTGGCAGATTGCTTTTTTATCATCCATAGGAATGTTTTATATGTGAATAATAATGAAGCAAACAATTATATATCAATATGTGCTGTTTACTGTTCTAAGCACTTTACATGTATTAATTAAATTAATCCTCACAACAGTCCTCTAAGGAAGTATGTTTATATTCATTTTACATGTGAGGAAACTGAGGCACAGACAGTTTAAGCAGCAGGATCAAGATTACATGGCTCATAAGTGGCAGAGCCAGGATTCAAACTCACATAGTCTGATTCCAAAATGAGTACTGCTTGTCGCTATACTTTACTGCTTCTTAACATAAGTAGATAAATGAAAGCTTGTACTTGCTGAATGCTTAGTGACAAAGACCGTGGACTTTCCCACCATGAAGAAAGGTGGGCTTGACCAGATTGACAGATTACAGCGTTGCCTGAAATGGGGACTTGTACTCAGTACAGTCTCCAAGGTAGTCAGATGATGGAATAAGAAGTCTTATTATCCAAAAGAATTATCAGATATGAATATTAGACTTTTAAACATTTTTATTGATTTCATAAAATTCAGAATTTTGAATGATGGAGGGGATAGAATAAGAAAGGGTGTATTGGGAGCTTCAGAGTCCTTGGTAATATTCTGTTTCTTCAGCTGGCGGGTAGTACATGAGTATTTTGTTTTTATTTTTTAACTACATATATGTTTTATATGTACTTTTCACTACTGTATTTCATAATTTTCCAAAATATTTATTAATCTAGTTGATTTTAAAAATAATAATGGGATGGAGGAAGAGGAAAGAATGATAAAAAGAACCTAGCAACTTTTTCAACATGTCAGAGTCAATAATTTATATTAGTAATATAATTTTGGTTTTTTCAATAGTTTGTTGTGTTGCTGTGAGAAACTGTTTAGAATGTCGGCAGAGACAGAGAGACAGGGGGAACAAATCTTCCCATGGAAGCAGCAAACCTCAAGAAGTGCCCCAAAGTATTACTGCCACAGCAGCTTCTAAGGTAATTAAATATTTTCTATGTTAAATATAATTTACCTGTTTTTTAAGTTTATGAGAACAAAATTGCATAATACTGTTTAATGAAAGAGCAAGGGTTTGGTAATCAGACAGCTCTAGGCTACATGATGGCTTGTTTTCTTAATGATTGTGTTACCAAGATTACTTAATCTCTCTTGAGACTCGCCTTTTTGGTTTTTAAATGAAGATACTAATAATTTCTACTTCATAGAGTTCTTAGAAAGGTTATAACACTACATAGCTCTGAAAAGTTTCTACTTATAACTATTTTTAATACTTAACATATATTTTCTCAGAGCTCAACATATATTGAATAATGAATGAATAAAGCCATATATATTGAATGAGTGAATAATGCTCTTTTT